TTATATTTTGTGTGGGTATTTGTGTTTCTGCATGGGTGCATGTGTGCTTGCATGCCTGGAAGTCATGGTGACTTCTGGCGACCCCTACTGGAGGCTTGGATGTTTTTCAGAGAGGAGGCTTAATAGCCTGCTTCTGTATCCCAAGCCCTGATATTCCTTGAAGGACCCTTCCAATTGCTTGCTAGGGTCAGCCCTTCTGAGCTTCCAAATTCTGACGAGATCGGGCTTGGCTGGGCTATCCAGGTCAGGGCTCTTGATTTATACTGATTACAACAGAAATGAAGAAAGGCTGATTGCCTTTTGATCATCAGTAAAAACCCTTTGTGAAGAAAGTGTTAACGAAATGCATGAACAAATTATCAGATCCTGAAAACACACTAGGAATACTTTAGACTTTTGGAATGAATACACACAAAAAAGACCAGCTTCTGGAATTTTAATGAGTAAATATCATCCATAAATACAGCAGACATGTTAACCCTCCTACAGCAGGTGAGCAGGAAGTAATTCTCACATCTCAGATACATGAATTCTCTTTTTAAATTCCCCAAAGAAGAGATTTCTAGTTCTAAGGAATCACTGAAAACTGTAATATCAGTAAAAGTAAATTTACAAAATAAAAGCAAACTTTCTATCTGGAAGAACAAACTGCCCAGAAAAAGTACCATATTTTCTTACCTAGACATTTTAAAACACCACTTTGCATTCTTAAAGGACAACAAGTTATATTCCTAAATATTATTATTGTGTGTCTAGACTAAAAATTCCCATATTTTGCTGTTGGATTTTGTTTCGTCAAATTTTTCTAAAGAGAGCAGAAGGTTATTAGAAAGTCAGAAAGCTTTCACTATATCCACTGTCCATTCACTAGGGATGCAAATTTCATTTAAAAAAGCAACTCTTTGTCAAAATTGTATGTAAATAATTAAACATCAACAAACTACCTATCCAGCCCATATACATATGTTCTTATCCATCATCAGCTCTGCTATTGATTTTTGTTAAGAAAAATTAACATGTTAAAATGCTCTGGTGTGAGGCTTGCATGCAGACAATTAATGGTAAGGCCAGCATTGGAAAACAGGTGTTCTGGAGGCACAGACCATTTTGGAATGCACAGGTAACCTTTTGCCAGCTTTCCAAGCTTTGGAAAATGGTTAAATGTTGACAGTAATATTTATATTGCAAATGAATCTCATCTCTATATTCACACCCATTTATATACCACCTAAGAGCCTCTGCTTAAAGTTTTACATTACCACTGTTTATTTGCTATTATTAAAATGTAAAATTTATGTATCATCAAAATCAATCTATATATTGTACCAAGATAGGTAGGGAACACTGCAAAGCTGCTGCCAGTCAGAATACAATATACTGAACTGGCTGGCCACTCAGTATAAGGCAGCCACAGCACGCTCAAGGCACTCTCAGGGTATTGCCCTTTCTATGATCTCAGGCACATGTGGTTAACTAGGTACATGAGCTCCTTGTTACGCTTTACAAAAACTCCTTTGCTCCTGCACAAATGTGTGGGTTTGTTAGTATGACTTCATTATAGCTTTCTCTAACTCTTAATCATAAGACAGAAGACTACTAGACACTTTCATTATAGATTGTTGTAGATGAAGTCTACTTATTATTTAATTAGATTTTTATAACCAATTTAAGGATATCACTGTGTTTCCCCAATGAAGAATTTCTGGGTGTTATGTCAGATTATTCATACTGTTTCTCCATGCACAACTTGCTCACTTATTATGGCAGTGCAAAATAGGTACAGCAAGAATACTGATGCTGCTAGTCTTCCCACTCACCTCAACCTTGCGTTCACTCCTTCAGCGATGCAAATAAAATCAGGAACCAGCAGCCAGTTGGGTGAATATATATCCTTTATTCTCTAGGTGGGAAGCCCCACCTGTAAAGAGTAAGAAATTCCAAGTCCTTGTTCAACACTCACCCATTACACGTGTTAAGTACATCATCAAAACTAGTTAAGAGGCTGTACGTTTTGTTGATAACGTCTGAGAATGTATAACTACATTTCAGCCAATATTTCCTGCACTTCAGGGCCCCTTGACGCTGCTTTTTGTTACCCCCCCCCCCACCACCAATTACCTACATTACCTGAGCAATCCTAAGGAAGTCTATCCAGAATCCTACTCGGGTCTATTCAGTGGGAGGTGAGGATTCATTCACAGTGACAGGAAAAGGGGCTAGAGTTCACGAAAACTGATGCTGGAATAAAACGGAGAGAAGTCTTTAGGGTGTCGCCAGCCTCCTCCTCATGTTTTGGTGCCACAGACGAACAGGGCCGCCCCTCCAAAAGACTTCAAGGCAATCTGACTGCAGCTTGGCCGACACCCAGCGGAGCACAGCCACATGCTTCAAGGCAAAAGACTCCGAAACCGGCCCTCTCACGTAGCTACACCCATCGCTCCCGGAGATGCGCATCACGAAGGCGCCCCATGCCTCCCTCTGCTCGCCCGACCGCCGCGCACACCCCGCCGACAGGAACCCGCAGTGAAACTTCCAACAGCAACCAAGCGACCCACATTCAACTTCCCCCTAGCAACCACAACGCCACCGTTCATTGGCCGAAAAGCTCGAAGAAGCCCCAAAGGATACAAGTGGGCGGGAAAGCGCTTTTGGCGTCACATCCCCGTAGGCAACATTGGTGGAATAAAGTGTCAATCATTAAATTACAGTTCCCCCCCCCCCGGAATTTCGACTTCATGGAACTGGCCCTTTCCGGTGTTTTAGTTTCATTCTGCTCCGAAGGGGGGAACGTGCGAGAAAAGGTTTCTTTCTTGGCTTGTCTCGGTCGGTGCTAGTTTTTGTGGCAGACCGCTTATTAAATTTTTTTGACTGCTTTCTGTTAAGCAAAGAAGTGCTTGAGATTTCGAGGGTTTTTTTTTGGGGGGGGGGGTGGCGGCTGCTTTTTGATAAGTGAAAAAGCGCGTGGGATTTCGGTTGTCCCGACTGGAGAGGAAACGACATTCCTTTTACAGTGGACCTGCAGTAAAATGCACTCCTCCTCTTGAAAGTGCTGCTCGGGCAAACTAATTTCAGAAACTTGTGGCATGCGAAACAGGATGCGGTAAAGTGGATACGATGTTCTCGAAGTAGCTGATCCAGCAGGATAGTTGGAAACAACTGGAGAAAAACAGGAAAAGTAGTTTTGCTCTATTATAGGCGGTGTTCTAAATAAGGGACAAAAAGAAATGCATGCTTGGCAAAGGTACTTATAATAGATATATAGATATAAAGGAAGTTCAGGCTCTGTAATTGATAGGCATCCGTGCGTATCTAAAAGTTGTTTACTATATGGAATAAGAAGCTGATGCTGTTTTAACGGATTTATCAGGGTTTTGTTGCTGAGGTCCCCTTTAGTGTAGTAAAGTTCTGTTTACAAGAGTAAGTAGGCATAAAGTAAATAGGTTGGAGTAAATTGAGCACAGCTCTCTAGAGGTTGGAACAGGTTGGAAAAAATTGGGCATAGAACCTGCAGAGGAAAAGGCTGCGTGTCCCAGTGTCCACAATGGGAGCCAAACAGAGTAAATCTGGACAGCCTCGGAGCCCTCTCCAGTGTCTGGTTAATAGCTGGGAAGTTATAACTGATGATTACTTGGATTATCCTGTATCCCGTTTAATTGATTATTGTACTTCGAATTGGCCATTCTATTCCCTCGATAATGATCCTTGGCCAGTTGAGGGAACATACAAATTGAATATTGTGTGCGATTTGCATAACTTTTGTAAAAGGGAAGGAAAGAATGATGAAGCAGATTATGTTGTTTTTTGGATATATGCAATTACTCACCCTAGTCTATTGAAAGGTTGTGGAAGTTGCAATAAGAAGATATTGCGAAAGAATGAAAAATGTATGCCAAATACCAAACCCCCTGCCAAGCCAAAGGCTAAGGTGCTAAAATCCATTGATAATGCTGATCCGGTGGGTGGAGTTATGAGGAGGCCGTTGTACCCTAGATTAGATGGTTATGAAGTACCCAAGTTGCTGTTAGGAGTGGCTACTTCATCCCCCCTTCCTTCTTCAGTCCCCACTTCATCTCCTCATCCCTATTTGGCCCAAGCAGCAGGGTCCAGTAGTGAGGCAGATGTGAGAAGCACTCCAAGTTTATTAAACTCTGGGTCAGAGTCCAGAAATTCTAGCTCTGGACTTAGTCAAGCCGTGTCAATTTGGGAGGGCAGACGAGAACTGAGGGAAGCTATGGCCCCAGAAGTGCCAGGTAATGAAGACCCCATGGTGTCCAGACAGCTTCAGATGCCTCTTAAACCTTCCAAGCCAAATAAGGTGCTAAAATCCACTGATAATGCTGATCCAGTGGGTGGAGTTCAGGGGAGTTTGTACCCTAGATTAGATGGTTATGGGTTACCCCAGTTGCTATTAGGAGTGGCTACTTCATCCCCCCTTCCTTCAGTCCCCACTTCATCTCCTCCTCCCTATTTGGGCCAAGCAGCAGGGTACAGTAGTGAGGCAGATTTGAGAAGCACTCCAAATGTATTAAACTCTGGGTCAGAGTCCAGAAATTCCAGCTCTGGACTTAGTCAAGCCATGTCAATTCGGGAGGGCAGACAAGAACTGAGGGAAGCTGTGGCCCCTAAAGTGCCAGCTAATGAAGACCCCATGGTGTCCAGACAGCTTCCTCTTAGAGAAGTGTTGAATGCCAGAGGAGATGTCTCCTCTGTGCATGTGCCATTCACTGCCTCGGACTTGTTAAATTGGAAGCAAAATATTCCTTCCTTGACACAAGATCCTGAAAGAGTCCATGCCCTCTTTCAGAACATTTTTGCCACCCGTAAGCCTACCTGGGCAGATTGTCAGACTTGCTTAGATGTTCTCCTTAGTCCAGAGGAGAAGTGGATGGTTTTACATAAAGCTCGCACCCTTGCTCAAAAGGACCAACAGGACAATAATGGGCAACCTGTAGATGAAGTGGTTCCTCTTACAAACCCTAACTGGGACCACACTTTCCTGGCAGGCATGCAGTTGCATGAGAGTTATAGGACTGCACTTTTAAGGGGAATGAAACAAGCAGTCCCCAAGCAAACAAATCTGAACACATTGTATGAGGTTTGTCAAGAAAAAGACGAGGACCCTGAGTTGGTGGAAATTGCGTCTAAAGTGTATGTGGATAGAAATAGAGAAAAAGAAGAGGAAAAGCAAATGAAGCAACAAGCAGCCCGAATTGCATCAATTATGAGCCAGCAAGGTCAGGAAGAGAAGCGAAGGGAATTTCCCTCAATTAGAGCCCAGGCTATTGCAAAACGGCGACCCTTGCCCAAGAATATGTGTGCCTATTGTCGTGAGCTGGGCCATTGGAAAAGAGAGTGCCCCAAATTGGAAAGAAAGAGGGCTGTAGGAAGGTCTGGAAATGATGGAAAGTCTGTGTCAGAGGTGCTGCCAGCCCCAAAGAGACTCTCTCAAGAAGGTTTAGGTTGGTGCCTTACAAGTAACAATGAAGAGGGTGATTGCAAAGGCGAGGTGAAGAGAAGAGATGCAGCAGCCCCCGGGGTCAGACAGGAAGAGGGTGATGAACTTTCACTGAACCATAAATCTGCAGAGCCACCAGGCAAAGTGCAGGACACTTGGGATCTGTTGGATGAAGGGAATCCTTTCAGATTTTTCCTCACCAAAGTAGAAGGAATTGAGTACAAATATAACTCTGAAGCCCTTCACATAACAGGTAAGCATGAACCAACATGACAAGAACTTTCAGCTTCTGTCTGCATTACATATTTAGTTCAAACTGCTTGTTTGTTGTAGCACCAGTTCTTTGGAATGGACTTCCTGTGAAGCTTGTGTATTGCAGTGGTTAGAGTGTTGGACTAACAGCTGGGCAAGTGAGGTTCAGATCTCACAGTTCTGTGGAGCTCACTAGTTAACCTTGAGCTAGTCACACTTTCTCAGCAGTGTTCCCACTAAGCTGAGCTAGTATGAGCTAGCTCACAATTTTTTAGCCTCTGGCTCACACATTTTTTTCTTGGTTCAGGAAAGATGGCTCCAGAGCAAACTCTAAGCAGCCAAATCACTCGCTCACAACTGTAATACAAAGTAGAATTTTTGCTCACAAGACTCCACAGCTTAGAGGGAGCATTGTTTCTCAGCCTAATTTACCACACTGTATTTTTGAGAAATTTAAATGGGAAATCTGTGCCACCCTGAGTCCCTTGCTGGAAGGACAGGATAAATATGTTAGATAGAGATATCTGTAGGACCAGCTCCTTGCTTTCTTTTAGGAGGCAGTGCATGATATGTTCTTTTGCAAAAGGGGTTTGTTCCAGTGATGTGACTATCTTAGTATCATTTAGCTTAAGAGAAACTGTGGTGGCATTTATCTTGCTGTAAGTGCTATGATTTATTGAAAAGTTGTTTTAATCTATAAAGAGGCAGAATATGCATTTTTAAATATTAAGGAATGTGCTGATAAGAAACTGATACTGAAAGGTATGCCAGCAAATTTATTTGCACAGAGAATTGAATGAATATTATAGTACATGGTGAAGGGGATCACAGAAGATTTAGTAGTTACTTCTATTGTTAGAAAACATGCAATGTATATGATTTGATTTATTTACCATTGTTTATTGTATACTTCATGTCCAACAGTTAAGCTTGTGAATAAACTCAGTTGAAAAGCAAATTATTTCTTGGTATCTATTTCAATAATAACTTTTTGCTTATAATCTTTCTAACTTATTACAGATATTTTGTCTCCCCCTTTGGGGACTCTTGTGTCATCTGCTCAGGTAAGGTTGTGCATTCATATTCCTTTTTAAAAACATAGTGCTATATCACTCATTCAGATTGCCCTTAGTTCCAGTAAGTAGTTGGAACAGTTTTCTGAGGATAGTTTGTCATACTGTCTTTTGGAAATGGGTAGCTGTTTATTTTCTCTGTTATGCACATGCATATGTCTTTTGTTAGCAAAGGGTTTTATGCCCAATTTGTTTATTGATAAAGCCCCAAATTTTCCAAAAATATGTAATGTAACTTATGTTTCTACATTCTTCTATTGAAATCTGATTGGAGATTGTGAAGGCATTATAGAGTGTGATACTTAGGTTCCAATTAAGATTTAACAGTAATGAAGATATTATTTAGGTGCCGTGTTGATTTTTAAGCTGTTCTTTGAGCATAATGTTTTGTGTACATATTTTATGCATGTGTGGCAACAAATTAGGAAATAGCTTGATCTTGTCACATCTCAGAAGTTAAGCAGGGTCGGAAGTTCAGGGCTGTTACTCAGATGCCGAAAATGGCAAACCACCTCTGTTCATCCTTTGCCTTGACAAGCACTTTCCATTCCACCTGTACCTTTTTCAACAATAGACTTATGATTTTAAAAATCTTAAGAGGTCATATATATCATTATTAATAAGAAAATACCAGTTTATAGGCGCTGTTCCTTTCTAACCAATGCTTCTTTTTCTCTACATGGCCAAGTTTAACTATCGTATAGATGTGGAGTGGCTTATTAATCAGTACCCGGAGGAATTCAGGTAATTTGCTATGAGAGGAGCTCTCCCTTACAGTGCCTTTCTATTCTTGCTGAATATAAAAATTATCTAGCCTTCTCCTTCCCATTACTCATTTATATTTTCCAACTTGCCATTGTACATTAAATGATATTAGTGTACTTGCCATAAAAGCTACCTTTCATTAGCTGGTGCTGTTGTCTTCAAAGAGCACCGCTCTCCTTCCCATTACTCATTTATATTTTCCAGCTTGCCATTGTACATTAAAGGATATCAGTGTACTTGCCGTAAAAGCTACCTTTCATTAGCTGGCGCTGTTGTCTTCAAAGAGCACTGCCGAAAGGCTTTTCAGTTAACCAGGGCTTTTTTTGTAGAAAAAGCCCAGCAGGAACTCATTAGCATAATAGACCACACCCAACAGCAGAAACGCATTAGCATATTAAGCCACTCCCCTGGCATCACAGCTCATTAGCATATTAGACCACACCCCCATGTTACCACACTCACCTTTTGCTTCTTATTCTGTTTACTTTGTTTGTCAAAACCCTGGGCTTTTTTTTGTAGCAGGAACTTCTTTGCATGTTAGACCACACACCCCTAATGTAGCCAATCCTCATTAGTTTCTGCTGTTGGGTGTGGCATATTATGCTAATGAGTTCCGGCTGGGCATGGCCAACTCAGGAGCCAGCTGGAACTCCGTTCCTGTGCGTTCCTGCCCAAAAATAGCCCTGCAGTTAACAGTTAAAGGTTATTGATACACAGCTGTTGCTTGATACCATCTTTCTAGAATGGCGGTAAGCATCATTATCATCACTGAGACTTCTTCTCCATGTGCAGTGTTTAAATTGCAATGTTTGTCGTTGATGCAGTCCTTGTGTGGGCTGTGTAGATATGCCAAATTACAAGTTTTTTGTGCTAAGTTATAAATTATACATTTTTGTTGTTGTTAAAGCTGTAAAAATAAGTTTAGGGTCGATGGAGTATTGCCTATGTTTCGATTTCCCCCTAATCTCCCATTTCCTCCTTTTCAAAGTATTCAGAATTTTTGCATCTCTGCACTGGGCCAGCAGCACATACATAAAGCTACTGAATCATAAAGTGACACAATCATAAATAAACAAAATAAATAAAATGAGGTCTTGAAGCAAACCAGTTTAGAGATAGGTAGAGTTCTGTCTTGCTAATGTCGTCTGTTACTTGGAAGCAAAAATGGCAACTGCTGCTTATATTAAGGTGTTGAATCATGAAACTTTAGGTGCGTTGCTCTACAACAGGGGTCCCCAACATGGCCACCCTGTTGGCATCTTATTTGGAACCTGCAAGTGTTTTTAGGAAGTGGGTGGGGCTGGATGGGGCTTTTGCCCTGCAGGGCTTGTGATTGCCCTGACTGGGGATCTGATTGGCTGTGCAGATTAAAAAAACAGCAACACTGCTTTGGCAGCAACTTCCACCACAGCACAAGGATCTTCACTGTAGGACTGAAGGTAAGCTGTGTATATTCAAGAAAATGTTTTTAAACAATGCAGTCATTTTCGAAGGCATCCTGGGAAGGAGAGCTTCTGCCTGAAACGTGGCTATTACAGTAATGCATAACTTCACTCCATGACATTTGTGATTGGCTCTGCCTCCTGTGGCAGCCTTTTATGGTTGTGCCCACCTTCATGTGTCAGAATTCCACAGGAGCCCACAGGCTCAAAAGGGGTGGGGACCCTGTTCTGTGGAATGTTAGGTCTCACAGGCATAACTAGGAAAGTTTCACTTGGGTTGCTTTGCAATGTGTCCTGTCCCACATGTACCTCCTTGTGTGCAAACCTCTCCCTGAAAAGTTCTCCATCAATTAACCAGTGGTATACCAAGATATGGTTATACCAATTAAAGGTAAGATTACAGCTGGAATAGCACAACCAGACCATTTTTCAGCCTACCAGGACTTTTTTGTTAAATGGTATCCTATACTTGAAAAAATGGACCAAAACTCACTTAGTACAGCCTTCTTAGAAACTCACAGTAGTTATAGCCTAATAACACCCTTTTGATATCCATGGTTTTCTTCAATAAAAATGTACAACATTGTCATTAGAAAGTTAGCTAACATTATATTGTTTAGGTTTAATACACATTGTTCCAATAAGGTTCTTATAAAAATTGTTAAAGTGATATTGTAGTGATCAAACGGCATTAGTCCTACAATACACCTTATACCTTTTTGTAACCAGGAACTATATTGCTGAGGAACAAGCAGGTTTCAGAAGTGATTGCTCCACAATGGATCAGTGCTTGATTCTGCATCATGTAGTGGGGAAATATACCGCCAGGCCACATGGGGCACTTTAGCCTTTGTTGATTATAAGATGGCATTTGATAGTATCTCATGCAACAGATTATGGCCAGAACTAGAAGCTTCCACGGTAGACCGCAGACTGCTTGCCCTTATATATGCATACTACATGAGAACAGCTATTTGTCAGTGAGATGTAACCCACAAGGTCATCTGTCCCATCTGTTTCAGTCAAGAGAGGTGTGAAGCAAGGATGAATCTTTGCTCCCTTATTATTTAGCTTCTGTATAAATGTGGTGAGAGTCCTACACAAGTAAACTTGAACATTTGTAGACTCAGTACATACATTGTGGTTAGCACCCATAAAACAGTGATGGGGTTGGCTCCCGCATTTTCCCTCTTTGCAGGTTTAATGATGTATACTTAGAACATATGAAAAAATCTTTACATACCATGAATCCTTTCTTTTACTTTAAGGGACAAACCTTTATTAATTGTCCTTGGAGAGACACGAGAGTCCAAGGCTGATCTGCACCATCAAGCAAAGGCCTATCAAAACGTTCGCTTGTGCCAGGTAATATACTTTTGTCACCTCTTTATTAACAAAAGTAAGGTATTCTGTGCCGCAATTCACCAGTGGTATCCTGTGCTGAACCAGGTGTTCTGCTTGGGCTACTTAACTAGTATTTAACTTTTATCTGTTTTCATTGTATAAAGAACTTTTTTTGTTTACTATGTTAAATATATATTACTGTAAAAAATTCTTGATATTCTGAATGTCGTTCATTAAATTTATTATCTTTTCTAAAAAAAACCAACCCACCTCACTATTTATATTTGCTGTTACATGGAGCTTTTAGAATTTTTACATGCAAAGACTAATTGGCCAATGTCAGGTGTTCTCTCTATTCATTGGGCTCACATTTAATTTTTAGACCATTAATTTTTAGACCATTTTAGACTATTAGACCATAAATAAAAATTTAGACCATACATTTTTAGACCATATCAATAAAATATCAAAAATGCTTAAGAATTATTCACTGAGAACATGTTTGGAAGGAACCCACACAGATCAGCTGGTAGCGTCAACATACATGTTTCTCATGTATGGATATAGTTACGTTCTTTAGTATAAGCCCTGTCTCCATGAACACATGTGAACATGCATCAACTGACGTGCACACTGGCTTATTACATGCATAGCATAAGCACAATTCCCTTTTTAGCAAGCAGCAACAAAGTGGAACAGTGAGGGATTTCCCCTCACTTCACCTGCTGCACCTGAGAGGAGTCCCTTTCCACTTCACTCCTGTTTTCTGTGCAACAGCTTTTTGTCCCATTAAATGATTGCTTTGAAAATCAATTGCCAGTGTTTCTGAAGATGACCACATACTGAGCCCTGTTCTAGCCTCAGGATAGCCTACACATTTAAGGACTAGGCAGCACTTCCTGCCTCTGTCATCATGCCCCCCCTACTCTTAAGCACCTCTGTAGGAAGCAATAGGAAGAACGGGAATAATGCAGGGGCTGCATGTTCAGAGACACTGAGTCTTTTTCATCCATTTAAGAGGAATATCTTCACTGCTGTATCCTGTAAAAATGCGTGGATGACTTCTAAAGCAGTCTGCTCTTCCTTGGTTTTGTAGAGTATCATTTACTTATTCTCACTAGCTTGGATCCTGTAGAAATGCTCTGTATGTGTGATGGGAGGCAGGTTTTGACTTGTGGGGGTCCCCCTTCTCCTAGGAGCAGCATTTCAGGGGCATTTGGGGCTGCGGTGGGAGGGGGGGAAGTTGTACACTTCCATGCATGGACATTTTAAGAAATGAACCAACCCAGTGTTTGAAAAGTAAATGACTATGGAACGTAGCTGGTTTTGAATTTGCAGACTGGAAAATTTTAGTGGACAGAAAAGTACAGCTCATTAATTACTCAGTGGTTTTCAGTGGGAACATCCCAAGTCAAAATATCACATCTGACTTTCTAAATTATCTCTTCTAGAGTCTGATTTGTTTTCACTCCAGGTTTCTATGAATCAGTTTAGCAAAATCGTTTTTCTTGTATAGGTATTTCATTGTTTGTCCTTAAATTTTGAGAGAATTTTATCAGTATCAACAAGGTTAGAGCCAAGAACCATGAGCTGCTAGCATTGTTTTTCCAGCACTTATGGAAGACTTTGCACAACACTACAATAGATCAGTTTGACAGAGTTCTTCTGCTTGCCCAAGTGGAAGAATGTCTGTGGATTTTGCTTCACCTTTCATATGCATCTCAGTGCGCGGTGTAACATAGCCCATCCACAAGTAGTAGTAGTAGGAGATTGGATTTATACCCCACCCTTCACTCAGAGTCTCAGAGCAGCTTACAAACTCCTTCCCCTCCCCACAACAGACACCCTGTGAGGTAGGTGGGGCTGAGAGAGCTCTGAGAGAACTGTCCTTGAGAGAACAGCTGACAGAACTATGGCTTGCCCAGGGTCATCTAGCCGCTGCAAGTGGAGAAGTGGGGAATCAAACCTGGTTCTTCCAGATTACAGTCTGCGCACTTAACCACTACACCAAACTGGCACACACCTTTAGCTAAAAGTCTGAGTTGAGTGAACTGCAACGTATAACCTTGTTAGTGGAGAATTATGCATAAAACCCAGGACTGGCTCAAAGCATTTTGCTGCCCCAAGCATCCTCATCATGTGCTATCCTCCACTGGTTCCAAGGTAAGCTTCTCTATTGCAGCTTGGACCTGGGTGACTGCAGTATTGACCCCCTTCTAAATCCAAGGTGGGCTGCAGAGGTGCTCTGCTGTCTGTCTTGGACCTCACAGCAGCAACAGAGTATATCCCTCCTCCCATGCCATCCATGCCATCTCCAAGATGGGCTGCAGCAAAGACACTTCACAGCATTGGTACAGATCTTGGAGGCCATGCCCGTTGCCTCCTCCCTTGTGCTGCCCTCTAACCATTCAATGCCCCAGGCAGCCAGTCAGGTGATGTCCTTGCCCTGGGTAACCTAGAGAGTAACTTCGCAGAATCTGAAGATGTGCATAATCATTAGGTGAAAAGACTATTATGCAATTTGCGTTGAGGCAACCTGAGAGCAGTAAGCTTTTTAAAAAAGTAGCTTTCTTTTAAAATAGTGTAATGATGAGATTTGCTGTCCTGGAAAACATCTTTTAAGAATGCTGTTCTTATTGTAGGCGAAGCTGGATTTTCCCTTTGGAACCCACCACACGTAAGTAATGATAGCGCTTACGACAAAAGCAGTTTTGACAATAATATGATACTTTCATAATATGATGATTTTAAAATTTGTGCTGATGTCTACAGCTGCCGGTAGAGTCTATAATCATAAGGTGGGACCTAGAGAGGCCACTGCACAAAGCATCTCAGTATGCAGTAGAGAAGGGGAGGTAATGGGTAACATTTCTTTCCTTTTGTTTTTCTACATCTCTGCTGCTCTGGAGGGGCCCCCCACCCTTCCTTGGTGATACCTAGAGATGTAAAATTTCCGGAAATTTTGAAGCTCGGGAAAAAACCCAGTTTTTCCCCCAGAAAAAAACGGAAATTATCGGAAAAATTGAAAAAAATGCTACATTAGCATTTCTTTTGTCTTTTCTAGTTTGAAAGTCATTCTGTTACTTTAGGAACATAAAATATGACTATGGGCATTTTTACTTGGCATGAAATTATCACAACTAGCATATTAAAAATATAGTGTATCCAAACAATTATTACAAACAGAATACCCACCCACATGCAAAAACAAAACTGAAACTGTTTTCTTTTCTTGTGACAACAGCACCTCCTAAAGGAAGAAATGCATCTTGTTCTTGCATTGGAGAGTTCAGCTTGTAACCTAGGACTTGCTTGTCTTCAGTGCACAGAAATTACATCCATCTGATACCATATATATATATTTTAGAAATGATTTCGCAAATATTTGAACACCTGGTCTTATTCATCATGTTAAAATAAAACGTTCCATAATCATTTTTTTTTCTTTTCTTTTAGTTTTTCAATTTTTCCAATTTTTCGGAAAAAAACAAAAAGGCTTCAGGGAAAAAAACAGGAAAAAAAACGGTTTCCCCCCGAATTTTTCCATTTTTTTTCTGGGCCTTCACATCTGTAGTGATACCCATGGAATTCAATGTATGATGCTTTGGATCTGTGTGCTTAACACGGACTTCAGCAGTAGCTGGTAACTTTCTTCATGGGCTCACTGTTTACCAGTGACAAAACGTATATAAACTGCTTATGACAGGTGATATGTATTTGATTAAGGAAAAACTTGACAATGGTAGCAGTCTTGTTCAGTCTGTTTTTGTACTTAAAGCCCAATAAAGCCACATTCTAACACGGAGATTCAGCATGTAAGAGTTTTTCCTGGCATGGAAATAGAGATGGGGCACCTGCTTGGTTTCTGCATATCAACTGCTGCTGCTGAAGATACAGCAATAGTGTTGTGGTTTAAAAAATAAACAAAAAACCCTGGCGATTTTATTACCTGTCTGCTTGACCACACGTATCTAGATTAGTTATTGCACAAAAACTTCCCTTCCTGGCCATTTGTGGGACACTTTTAATTGTGACAGGAAGCAAGACAAATGGCTTTTTAAGCCCTGTGTTAAGTTCAGGTACAAGCTGAACTATGAGTCTTCCTGTTCTGTATTCTCCTGGGGAGCAGAGCTTTGGTTGGTTGCAGAGTCTGTTCATGTTTTCTGTGCACAGCATCACAGCAGCACAAGAGGTGTTTCTAATTCTTTCATCTTGGATATGAGGATATGACCATACACTGTACCTGCTGAGAAGATGCAGCCCATGGTAGCATTCCTGTGGCAAGACTTCCTTCTCCCTGTCATAATGTTTAGAAACACTTCCACATGAAGCATTAGTGTCAGTTTGCAAGTATCTCTGGAGATATGAGGCAGAAGATTTTCCAGTGCTTTATTATTCTGAAAAATGTTCTATTTCTAAAGATTCATTGTTTCATAAAATTATTATTAGTGAATGTTTAATAAATACTAATACAGTTATTAGTGTTAAGGCTACTTAAGCTCCTTCCCCTAGCGATCTCCAGTGCGGAGTGGGTTCAGTGGCTACACAGGCAGTCTGGGCCCCAGCGTGGCACCTCCCTGACGGAGAGCCGAAGCGACCTGCTGCTTGCAGGAGCTGGGATACTACTTGTGATTGCTTTTCACCTCTTGGTTGTAACAAATTCTGATGACAAATACAGCAATGTTGGTCCGGCTTCCTGTTTTATAATCGTTCAGTTATAATCGTTCAGTTCTTTGTCATTAAGCAGTTAATGTTTTTGCTCAGAAGTGATACTTCACTGTTGTTCCCGGTCTAGATTGTTCTGAATGCTACAGTGCACAGCAAGAAATGTTCAGTTTCTAAATAAGCGATTGCTGACTCATTCCAAGACCTCAAATAATACCATAACATCACAAACACACAAAGCTCAAAAATTAAACCAATGTGAACTAAGCGTATTATTTCCCCAGGGCATTTTCATTCTCAAGTATCAGTTTCTAAGGCAACCAGCTTGGGGGGGGGGGCAAAATAACATGCCATGCTTTCAGTCTCGTGTTCTACTGTAATTTTTGTTCATTAAATATTTTAAAGGACTTATGAAATCTATGCAAAACGGAACCTATGTGATGTTAGTGGATTCTGTTGGACTTGATTCATAAATTACATACTTCCTTTAAAAATGACCATAAGAATAAAATTGCTAAAAAGTATAAGTAATTTTTTAAAAGTACTTTGGCCACATATAATGTCAGAAGTAGAAAAGATTTTTCAAATATTAGACAAGCAGGTTTGCTCTGTAGGAAGCAGGCTTTTATTTTTATGCCAGTTTGTACTCTTAAATGCCAGCAAATGTTGTCTGTCTTTCATAAGTCCACTGTTCCTAACTTTATGCACTAGTGAGTGATCCATTCAAAAGCTTTAAAATCTCATGAGCTTGTCTTTGCCTACTATTTGTAGATCTTTGTTATGCAGGAGATAGTGCTGGTACCTTAGTGGGGCTTTGTTGGTTCTGAAGCAATATGTGTAGAGATGTGAAGGCCCAGAAAAAAAAACAGTTTTTTCCGTTTTTTCCCTGAAGCCTTTTTTGTTTTTTTCCGAAAAATTGAAAAAAAGAAAAAAAAGAAAAAAATTGATTATGGAATGTTTTATTTTAACATGATGAATAAAATATTTTAAGACAAGGTGTTCAAATATTTTCTAAATCATTTCTAAAAAATATGTGTGGTATCCGATTAATCTAATTTCTGTGCACTGAGGACAAGCAAGTCCTAGGTTACAAACTGAACTCTCCAATGGATAATGACAGACACAACAGAGTAGCTGCAAAAGCAGAGACTGAAACTGATACTGATAATTACAGCTCAGAAAATGATTCTGATTAAATTTCATGCCCATTAATTGAAACTTAGTCCCACACTCCCTTCTATACACTTCCCCTCTTTTCAATTCTTTTTATGAGAATTTTTATTATTATTTAATACTGTGAAGAGGAAATATGAATAATTGTTACTTCTGGATTTTAAAAAATTGCTTTGTGGAGGTTTTTGTGTCTGTTCCACATAAACTAGTAAACAGTTCAGGAGATTGTTGCTCCATTTGTTACAATTACAAATAAATATTATTTAAAAAGTAAATTCTGTTTGTAATAACTGTTTGGGTACACTATATTTTTAATATGCTAGTTGTGATAATTTCATGTTGTCCAGTCATATTTTATTTTCCTAAAGTAACATAATGACTTTCAATCTGGAAAAGTAAAAAGAGGTGCTAATGTAGCATTTTTTTCCCATTTATCAGAAAATTTCCGTTTTTTCTGAAAAAAACTGGGTTTTTTCCCAAGCTTCAAAATTTCCGGAAATTTTACATCTCTAAATATGTGTAGGGTAAAATGTTCAGCCATGTTTGTGTTTCAGAGCAATGCTGACTGCATTCGGTTTGTCTCAGCACCAACTTCTGTATATTCGGTGAATGTTACCACCAGACAGAAAGAATAAGATAAATCATGAGAGTTATTGCATGGCTTTAAAGTTATGTCTTGTGCATATCTGAAGTATGTTAAAGAGAACTGTGGCATTTTGAGCCCCTCTGATTTTTAACATTCTTAATCCTTTCTTCCTGTGATCATTTTAACACTTTTGCTTTGTGTAGGAAAATGATGTTATTGTGTTATGAGGAAGGCCTCCGTGTCGTGATACATACATCCAATCTTATCGAAGTTGAGTGGTGCCAGAAAACACAAGGGTGAGCACAGAGTTTTTAAGATTCCTAACTTGGCATCTTACTTTTTTAAAAAACTCAAATGTTGACTTCAGGAGAGCTTCTCTAACTCTACCCACAAATTGCCTTGCTTCATGAAAAGCCCCTTTTAGCTGTGAAACCAACTCAGACCATATATTTACAAATGGGGAAATTTTAAAAAACCTGCTGGAGTTAACCACGGCCCTGGTCCAGTCTTTCACCTTGCCCTCTGCTTTCCATAGTGCTTTGCTGGCAAAAAGGCAGACAGGAAATAGGTGGTGTGCTCGGCTGTCAGAGGCTGCGGCAGCATTTTAGTGAGAAAGCAGCAAGTGTAAGACTTTGCAGACTGCCTGCTCTAGTTTTCAATGGGGCAACACAAAGAGCCTGTTGGCAGCTGACCGGAAGTCCATTGTCTGTTTCCTAGGGGATGTATTATCGCTGGTTAGCCTTAAGCGCCTTGTAGGCTTCCAGGTTAGGCAGTCTCAAACAGTGCAGTTTGTCACCCAGGAGTTTCTGAAAATACATAATAGTTATTAATGAAAGCACGTAGGATTAGTTATAATAATAAAGGCTCTTGGCTTCAAAAATGAATTGTAAGCGCTTTTATTATGTTAACTGTAGTCTGGGCTTAGGTTTGGAGTCCAAACTTGCAAGACAGTGCCAGATGGTTCACCTCACAGCTTCTAAAGTAAAGATCTCTACTTCTGCAGAACCTGCAGTAGTCCCCCTGTTCTATGTTCCACCAACTGAAGAAACTGTGCCCTCTTGTTCTAGCTCCCTGCCATGCCTCAAAGAGGCCCAAGCCAGAGAGGATGCTCTGTGAAAGGGAATGGGTGGAAATAGGTGTTTAATTTGCTTACTGTCCTCAGTGGATCTTGGAAGGAATAAGGATAGGGTTTTAGGCCATATAGGCTTGTATAAGATTGTTATAATGGCCTGTGCAATAAATTTAACATTTCAGCTGTCACCAAGAATGGAGAAGTCTTACGTAGTTTCATATTTATAGGTATAAACTTCAGACCATTAGATCTTTTACTGCTCCAGGACTTTAAAGGTCACCTGGATGAAAGGTTGACAGGTGATGGTTGCCTGTTTCTCTCTACCCAAAACACACTGAAGCCATTAAACCCCATCTTCAACTGATTAAAGAAAACAGGCTTCTGAATCGGATAAGTTTTATTCTTTATAACAATTTGTTTACTGGCAGAATATAGTTGTGAGGTTTGAGTCTAAATAGCTCTTCTGATCTCTTTCCCTGAAGGAAAGTTACAAAGAGGAATCTTGCCAGGAACAAAGAAAATGTGTCAAATATAACAACGAGCAGTTGTCTTTTTAAGGCGCAGAACCGTTTTTTGTCATCAAGTCAACAAAAAATGTGTCTACTTTACTGGAAAATATGTCTATTTAACTAGCAGCAGTCCTGGTTGTTCAGTGTGTCGATAACATAGTGGCTTTATTGTTTCTGAAGGTGAAAGTAACATATTGCGAAGATATCTGCATAATGTTTCATTTATTCTTGCTTCCCCCTCTCTGCAATTGAAAAAGTAATGGAGGCAAGTAAGCAGGGGCAGGAAGGGACGGTGGAAAGTTGTGTAAAAAATGAGATGTCCATCTCTGTACTCCAGTCGAGACAGCTGATACTGGAGACGGTAACAGAGACAGAATAAAGGAACTGCCCAGTCCCAAATATCTATTCATAACAGTACAGGATTTATTTATTTAATTCATTCATTTGTACCCTGCCTTTCTCCCCAGTGGGACCCCAAGCAGCTTACGCCATTCTCCTCTCAACTTTACCCTCACAACAATCCTGTGAGGTAGGATAGGCTGAGAGAGTATGCCTGGCTCAAGGTCACCCAGCCAGCTTCCATGGCACTAGTGGACATGCGAACCCGGGTCTCCCAGATACTAGTCCGACACTCCTAAGTTCTATACCACACTGGCTTGCACGCAATGTGCCCTCTAAGCTGTGGAGTCTTGTGAGCAAAAAAATCTACTTTGTGAACTACTGGCATTAAAGTTTTGAGTGAGCGATTTGGCCACTGCATAAATTAGTTTGCTCCTTCCTGAGCTAAGACGAAAATGTGTGAGCCGGAGGCTAAAAAACTGAGCTAGCTCACACTAACTCAGCTTAGAGGGAACACTGGCTTGCATGTGCCTTACCTTTCCTTTTCAGCGTGTGCAGAATGGGGGTGCCTGGACCGGGCAATGGCCAGTCATTGGGATGTGGGATTTCCCTGACTGTGATCCACACCCTCTTGTCCACATGTAGTGATATTAAAGACCTGGAGGAGAGCACTCTCAAGATCAGGAATTGCTCCTGACTTCAGAGTGTGTAGGGACTCCGGAAGGAGGCTGGATATGATCTGACTCAGATATCAGGGTTTTGATGACTATCCAAGATTCAGAAGTAGATTTGGGAGTCAGTATCTGGAAGGTAAGACGAAGCCACCATCTTTCTTGCTTTGCTGTGCTGAAGGAAATGGTGGTCGTGCTTGTTGGTTTGAAAGTCCACATATCCTAAAATACAAAAAACATTGTTGCTTGAATCCAGAGACCAGAGCAGAGGGTACAAAGTAAATGTTTGTTGCTGTTCCCTGCTTGCTGCAGCCTCCTAAGCACTCCCCCACCCCAGTCGCTGTTGAACACCAGGTGACCTCTGGGTTATAGCATGGGAAGGGGTGTAGTGGGGCCGCAATGGGAAGGGCAAGTAGTGGAAGTAGCCTCTCTGCCCCCCCAACAGTTCTTGTGCCAACAGTAGCATGAGTTTCCACCACCTTTCCCTCCCCACCCCAGTTGCAGCCCCCTTCTGTGCATCCCATATAATTGCCATGGTACTTTTATGTTTAGAAGAAGCTTTTCAGAGGGGACAGATGGCTGCAGTGCTAGGGAAGCAACAGAAATCTGTTAAGCAAGCTCCATTTTGTCCAAAGTTCTTTGGATCCAAGCCTATAGAGAGATTTTGTTTTGATTTGGAAAAAGTAAATATCCAAATTGCTGTAAAATAAAACTTAATTTATCAGATGTTCTTTGGTTACTAGACTACAGTAAACAAGTGCAATACAACAGTTTTGCAATGCAGCATTCATTTCCCCCCCGCTTATGTTTATTTTCTAGCATATGGCTGAGTCCTCTGTATCCAAAGCTACCACCCGGAACGCCGGGGTCTGTTGGTGAATCTCGTACCAATTTTAAGTCTGATCTGATCACTTACTTGATGTCGTACAAATCCCCAACTCTCGATGAATGGGTTGAAGTAATCAAGCAACATGATCTTTCAGAGACAAGGTGCGTACATCATTTGGACAATAGATACTTCTAAAAAAAAATGTGTACATTTGGCTCTGTATTTCTGGGGAGCCTCAGGCAAGAATTCCTCCAGGAATAAAGCTGCTTCAAATGGAAGCTCTCTTTGGTTTCTGCTTCTAAATTGGGTTTTTTTGTGCAAACAGGTATTGTCATGTAAAATACTATCTCCCCCCCCTCCTTCTGTGGACCTGACTGTGGCCTTGGGATTATCATAGAGGGCAGTAGAACTGAAGAGGAGTGACCAGAAATTGCACAGGCTTTTCATTATTAGGACTGCAGACAGCCATTTGGAGGGAAGCTAAGCTCATCCTAGCCCTTAGCACTGATTCTATTATTTGAATTGTTTCTATGTTGGACTCTTTAAATTAACGTATTTAGACCTCTTATTATGCCTGAAAAGATTTTATATTTATGTCATATTATTAACAGGGTAAATTATGTGTATTTTGGCCCTGTACTTTTAAAGCAAGAGAAAATAGAAAACCATTTACACATGGAAACTTCCTTGACAAGTAGTGGTTTGAAATTGTTCTGAATTGCACCAAAAAAATTAGAATCGTGCATGTTTAGTTGGAAGCAATAATTTATAATAATACTTGACTTTTTAATAAATTGATAAAGGGAAAACAGGACCTGAATTTACTTCATAGTGAATAACTAGAGATAAGTTTGATACCCAGATTTCAAAGTAGCTCCTTGGATGTTCGCGTGCTGGTGTAGTTGCTGCTCCTCCGTAAAGTACACTGAAGATCAATATCCTTCTGAGATTTTAAAGTTGACTGGAAAATTTTTTCTTTCATTAGAGCAGAATGTATAATTATAACTAGGGATGGGCACAGACCAGTCCATGAACCTAATTTTGTAACAGACCAGGGCCCAGTTCATGGTCTGTTTGCCTGGTCCATGCATTTGTGGTTTTGATGGACTGCAATTTTTTTAAGGTGGTCCATTTGGTCCGTTGGAGCAGTCTATGGGCCAGGCATGCTGGTATCCAGGAACCCTTTCAAGCTGTGCCACCATTGCGGCATGCCGTGATTGAGCTCAGGAGGTATTTAAACGCCTCCTGAGCTGACTGGCGTCACGCCGCCGCAATAGCATGACCCACAAGTGGGCTCAAAAGGCATTTAAATGCCTCCTGAGCTGACTGGTGTCGCACCACCACTGCAGCATGATGAAGTGGGCTCAGAAGGCATTTAAATGTCTTCTGAACCCATTTCCACATTGCGCCCATCACAGACCTCACAAACCACAAACTGGTTCATAAACTGTGGAAGGTTGTGGTTCATGAAATTCACAAACCACAAACCTCCATGGACCTCCATTTTTTTGGTCCGTGCCCATCCCTAATTATAAGACAATTTGATGCAATTTCTCCTAATTTTAGAATTATCCTACATGGCATCTTGCATATATTTTTCTCTAGAGTCTATCTTGTTGGGTCTACTCCAGGTCGATACCAAAACTATGAAAAAGAGAAATGGGGCCACCTTAGACTAAGAAAGGTACTGATTTTGATTTCTATTGACTTTTCTTTCGTCTGTGTGCTGTTACCTTGATCACTCCCCCCATTGATGAGCCTTGAATCTTGCTACACATAAACAAATAGCATGTAATAGAATATTTGGGTCTCTGTTTCTTTGTCCCTGGAGAAGATTGCTTGCATATACAACACTTGACAATTGAAAGGTGCTTCAGCTAAGCAGCAATTTTAATATCTGCAAATAACCTGTCAGGAATATTCTAGTACTACATGGAATCCTGCTTCTATAGTATAGATAGAAATTACATTCCCAGTTGGAGTACCAAAGGTAGAGTTAATTTTTGTGCTGAGCATTGACGAAACAATGTAACTTGAGATACAGCCTAGATTTTGTGGTGTGAATGATATGTAATGACAAACAATGGTTTGTTGTGGAACAGTCCTGGATCTCTCATCCTCCTTGGCCATGGGTAGGGAGGTTTGTTGCAATGTCCAAAATTAAATGCTGGTTTGTCCTCCCACCCTACCCCCCAGGTTTCCAAACCACATCCAGATTTGGAGGACAGTGAGCAACCCATCATTTCTGATGTGGACGTTATAACAAATATAATATTAAATGTTTTTATTGTCTTAATGTTTTTATGACGCCAATGGCTTTGTAAGCCGCCCTGAACCTGCTTCAGCAGGGAGGGTGGGATATAAATCAAATAAATAAATAAACTATAGTTTGTTATGGAAGTGTGTAATTGATCAAGGTCTGTGGTGACTGGGGGACCCCTTGTTCCCCCAAGCAAGGGGGGGGAGGAGGTATGCTGAAAGTCCCGAAAACTAGGGAAGGGAATAATGATGTCTTGATTTGCTCCCAACCATCCATTTTAAAGTTTTTACTGTGCAGAATGAATGCAGCAACAATCTGTTCTTGTGTCAAAACCCATTGGAGATCAAACTGTATGTGCTGTGATAAAATGATATTGATACATGGTGCAGTGACAGAGTGTCTCAAATGAACATTCAGTTCCAGAGCTTCTATAGTCTTTAAAAGGGTTTGAATGTGGAAGTCGCTTTTGGGCTCTGCGGAACTGGGTGCTCACATACCTTACTACTACCTCATTTATTCTATAGGAGCCCTAGCCCATGGAAGGTCATGCCACAGTAAATGAGTCCTATGGTGTCTGACAACCTACTGCTTCTTGCTATAGTATATTAAAACAGCTTCCATGGTGTAATTTTTAAAAAATCTCTTATATTTATAGCTATGATTTAACAATAATATCTATAAATAATCTAGTATGTAAGACTGGAAGAGACACTCATTCAAGTAAGTAGCTAGTCAGAGTGATTGACTTTTAAGAAGAAGGAAATGTAGTACCATGACATACCGTACCTGGCCAAGTTCCATAGTTCATCAAAGTCTGATGAGCTAAACTTCATGATTTTTTTTTTTGCTTTTATTTTACCCCAAACAGCTTTTAAAAGATCATGCAGTGCAAGTGCCTGATGAAGATTCTTGGCCTGTAATTGGGCAGTTCTCAAGTATTGGATCCATGGGAGCTGACCAGTCCAAATGGCTGTGTTCAGAGTTTAGACAAAGTTTGACCACTCTAGGAAACAGTGCAAAGTCTCTAACAAATCGGGAGGTTCCCATTAATCTGGTATGGATTGCTTTTTGTACCTTTGTTAAGAAAGTACAGAAAATCAGTGCTGCTGCTAATTGTCATGTTTACATAATCTTGTTTTTAAGAAGATTGCTTTGAATGCTTTAGTTAAATGGTAACTTCTCTATTTTATTCAAAGATTCTAGGTGCCCTTTACAGGAGAGTGCTTTGATTAATTCAGTGGGCTCCGAGCAGGACTAATTTTCTCTAAAATGTTACAAATAGGTCATCTTACAAACATTCCTAGCTTATTTCTATCACTTTGTTTAAAAATCTGTAACTTTTATTCTCTTACCTTTCTGCAAAGCAAGACTGTTGGAGGTCAGTAATTTCTAGTTTTGTCTAATTTCTGAGATTAATAATCATGTTGCACACCTTTTAAATCCAGAGAAGTAGCTGTATTGATCCATTGGAGCAAAAACAAACAAGATTCTTGTTGTACCTTAGAGAGTAAAAAAAATTACTCCACTATAAATATTTGTGGGTTAGAGCCCACTTCTTATTCACCATGATTCCTCACTATGCAGACATTTCATGTAGATGACAGATGGGGGAAACACTGCAGGGTCAAGGGTTCATTAGATGTAGACAGTAGAGGGAAATGTAATTATGTAAAATTCAGCCTGATCAAGAAAATACAGAGACCATTCACTAGTTATGCTAAGGTAGTTAGTACTTGTGTTGAGAGTGAAGTCCCAGGCTTTGCCGGAATAGCTTGCTGAAATAAAATTTTGTTAGTCTTTAAGTGCTACAGGACACCTGTTTATTTTTGCAACATTTGGAGGTGCTAGAAGTGTTGGCTGAGGTGCATTTTTACGGCTAACTCACTTATTACATTTTGTTATTTAGATTTACCCCACTGTGGACAACGTGAGGCAAAGTTTGGAAGGTTATCAAGGTAAAAAAAAAAGTAATTTTTTTTTTGTGTACAGCGTAGAAAGCCAGGCCTGAGTGGGAGATATCCTAAATGAACAGCTGGTGGCAGCATAAATCCCCAGAGAGAAGCAAGGAACTCCTCTGGGAGCCAAGTGGGGTCAGGGGAGCGGTATTCTGCCACTGAAAGACCTGGGACAGTTGCTGAGTGTCTCAACCCCTCAGAGGACCCAAAATGAAATGATGCTCATGGGCCAGTGGAACCATTCTGTGATAGTTGGTAAAAATAAAGGAAGATCTATAGAGAACATACCCTGACCTAGATAGCCTCAAGTAGCCTGATCTTGTCAGATCTTGGCTGCTAAGCAGGGTTGTCCCTGGCTAGTGTTTGGATGGGAGCCCTCCAAGGAATACCAGGGTTGTGATGCAGAGGCAGGCAATGGCAAACCACCGCTGAACGTCTCTTGCCTTGAAAACCCTACGGGGGTGCCTTAAGTCAGGTGTGACTTGATGGCACTTTCCACCACAAATGTGCCATGGCATCTGTCTTTGCTGCTGATGGGTGGAATTAGATCCATAGAGCCCAACAACTGATATTTTTTACTTTTACTGATATAATAAGAATTCCGAGGTCTGATCCAGATCTTCCACTGTAGTGTGGACAGTGTCTTATTTTGACAGGAAAAGGTATGGTATGAGTCTTATCCATTCAGTCTCCTTAGATAACTAGAAATAGGATATCAGCCCCCCCCCCCATGAGAGGGCCACTTGACCAAAGGGCATGACCACCTATTTACTCCGAAGTAACCAGTCAGTCACCAGTTTGGTGTAGGGGTTAAGTGTGCGGACTCTAATCTGGGAGAACCGGGTTTGATTCCCCACTCCTCCACTTGCACCTGCTGATGTGACCTTGGGTCAGTCACAAGGTCTGGCACAGCTGTCCTTGAAAAAGAGCAGTTTGTGTCAGAGCTCTCTCAGCCCCGCCCACCTCACAGGGTGTCTGTTGTGGGGAGGGGAAGGGAAAGGAGTTTGTAAGCCGCTCTGAGACTCCAAGTGAAGGGCGGGGTATAAATCCAATCTCTTCTCTTCTTCTTCTCTTCTTCTAACTCCCTAGCTAGACTTTTGCTTTCTAGGCTTAGTTTTGGATTCTTATGAGAAATCTACGCACTTATTTAGGCTGTTTCCCAAATGAATCCTACCACAAGCCTGAAGCTACCACCCTTCACTAGAGGGGTATGACAGCTCCCCACTGGGGTACCTGCTGCTTCTCCTCCCTAGTACTAAGAACCATCCCTCCCACTCACTAAAAAGCAAAATGGCATTTTAAGACCTACTTAAGTAGTTCGAAGAGCAGAAGACAACTTTTGTTTTGTCTTTTGGTTATATATGCCCTTGTGCACATGATTAACATCTATATACAGTATTATTAAATTGTCATGCATGGACATAATTTTTCACAAGCACGGCAAAGACAGGACACTCCACTAATATGAACCAGCAAGTTCCTATTGTTGGCAATTTTATTTAGACTCTTTTTGCAGTTGACTGGTTCATCTTGATTTGACTTGGTGTGTTACAAAATTCAGTTTGACATAATTGGATAGAATCTACATATAGAGTAGTCTTTTTAAAAGTCTGAAGTGTAAATCATTTGGAAAAATTCCTGCTTATATCTGTTTCTTTTTTTGTGATGAGGAAAGCTCATTTGAAGGGAATATTCTGTGGTAAAACAGAGAATTTGCCATTCCATTATTTAATGAGATTCCATTTCAGTGGCACGTTTCACTGTAACTAAGTTATCTTTTCTTTCTCTTGGAGCTGGAGAGTCTCTTTCATATAACATGGAGATTGCACAGAAACAGCTTTGGCTGCATTCTTACTTCCAGTAAGTGACATAATCTCTTTGTGACTAATGGCATTTTGAGTTTCTAAGGTCAATTAAATCTGTGAGAGATGTAGGTCAGACAGGCTTTGGGATGTTCATTAAAAAATTAATTGAATTTCATGTAAATTGAGACTTCATATATCTTATATTCTAATAGCAAAGTCAGGATATCTTTGGATATTGAAATCCGGTGACTGGAGCTGTGAACATGCAAGACAGATCTTTCTACAAACCTGAAAATGTCCCCAGGTTTGGAAGAAAATGTGAAATCTTTTAAAAATAATAATAATAACCCACTGGACAGTGTTAGCCAAACTGCCTTATCTACGACAGTGGCAAACTAAATTTAACGTGAGTCCTTGCCAAAGTTTACGGAAGTCCGGCTACCCCAAAGAAATCCCAGTGAGAGACACTAGACTGGAGTTTTTCCAAAACAAATAGTCTTTTTACTGAAGCAATATCAAAATCACATACACACAAAATCAGTCTCACATTCGCATACAATCAAGGTTCCTTTAGAGTTACAGAAAGATATAAAAATAGTTTCTCATTTACTTAGGAGGTAGGTAGGTATCGGTTTATACTTGCCTGTTCCTGAAGTCTTGTCTGTTGCAATGTAAAAATAGGTGAAGAATGATAGAATCTAGGGGTACTTCTAAATCATGTTCTGCTAGAACCAGCTAGCAGGGCATGGACCTCTTTGGCTGCGCACATCAAAGGATCAACTAAAGACAAAGGCTGGGCAGGCTGGGCAGAAGGGGAGTTAAAGCAGGAGGGGGGTAGCGGCTAGCAAAAGCTCTAACGCATGGTCTTCACGTTTTATAGTCAAATCTTCGGGTGGGTGGCAACCTAGCCAAACTGAGATCCCACCTATCTGTAGTCCGTCCCATTCCTTCTTCTCATTGGTGCATGTTAGTAAGGGGCAGCACCTTTAAGGGTTGGGCCAATATTTGAAACTCTAGACTCTAATTCATGGAAAGCCATCTGGTCAGGTGTGAATTCTCAGCATCATGATTCTCCTTGATGTGCAGATAGATTGACTCTAGGCACAGTCCACCAGGAAATGGCAATTCAGATGAAGATTAGCTCCGTGTAAAACATGACATCAAGTCTCTCAGCAATGGGGGAATACTTGTCTTTTTAAGCTGTATTTCCTGCTAACAATGGCGAAATGTGCTTCTTCTTCCCATAAGGCTTAGTAGCTGTGTTTGTGTGTCTGCAAACTCATTAGCTTGAAATGCAGTTCAATACCCTCTATGTGAAATCTCTCTCACAACAGGTGATTCAAGCAGCTTTACCTTTGAGCCTATGAGCAAATGTGTGTACACAATCTATATAGTGTGTTAGCATATATATAAATTCATAAACAGCAAATATGTCAATTTCTCAATAACAGCTTTAAAAAAATCCAAAAAATGACAAAAGAAGCACCTGTGTCTTTAAGCAACAGATGCCTTCAGTGGCTGTTGCTAGGCAGCCCCAGCATTCCACATTTGGCTCTGTCGGTAAAAGTCGGGGGGGGAGGCCCTTTCCAATCCTGTTTCGGCTTTTGAGGGAGAACTCATTGGGGCCAGGCCTGGCTAAGGCTGCCAGTTCCAGGTTGGAAAATTCCTGGAGATTTTGTGATGTCTGAGGAGTGCAGAGTTTGGGGAGGGAGAGGCCTCAACATGATATAATGCTATAGAGTCCACCCTTCAAAGTAGCCATTTCTCCAGGGGGACAGATGTCTGGAATTGTAATCCGGGGGGATCTCCTGGTCACACCTGGAGGTTGGCAACCCAAGGCCTCGCAGCAACTTCTGGGTGACTTGATGCCACCTGGCTTGCATGACTCAAGTAGGCTTGGCCGCTTGCTACTGTTCAACAGCAGCCACCCTATGAAAGGCAGTGTGGTGCAACAGTTAGAGCTTCAGAGTGGGGTCTGCAAGACCCAGGTTCAGATCTCCCTCTTGCTGTAGAAGCTGACTTGGGTGATTTTGGACGAGTCACATACTTTCAACCTAACCTGGATAAAAGAAGGAGAAGAGAATAATGTAAGCTGCTTTTGGTATCCACTGTGGAGAAAGGTGATGTATAAATGAAGTAAATTAATAATAAATTTAGCTGAAGATGGGAATTAGATAAAAGGTAGGTTGGTGAATGGTTGAGAGAAAGAGGCAGGGAGAGGATATGAGGATTGCCAAGAGGAGGGAAAAAGGTTAAGAAAATCCTAAAAATTTGGGGGGAGGGGAGTTTGAGGAGGGGAAGGAACTCAGAGGCGTATATCCACCCTCCAAAGCATCCGTTTCCTCCAGGGGAACTAGGATTGCCAACCTCCAGGTGGGGGCTGGAGATCACCCGAAATTACAGGTGTAAGATGACAGGGAATAGTTCCCCTGGAGAAAATGGTTGCTTTTGAGGGTGGATTTTATGGCATTATAACCAGCTGAGGTTGCTTCCCTCCCAAGGCTCCACCCCCAAATCTCCAGAGATTTCCCAACATCAGTCTGGCAACCCTAGGAGTACTGAACTCTGTAGCTGGGAGATCTGTTGTGATTCCAGGAGATCTCCATCACCACCCAGAGACTGGCAACTCTAGAAGGAGAGACAGGAGCAGGAAAAGGAGAGCAACTACGAGGGCTTTCAGGAAATGGAAAGAGGAAATATGTTTGTATGATTTATGAACGTTAAAAACCTTCTAAATCATCCCATAATGGTGGGATGCGGGTATATGCTTGCTTTCTTCTCTTGTAGTTGGTATTCAAAGAGGAAAAAAAGCAGCCCTAAGAGTCTGAACAAGAACAATTTTTATCAATCCCTAGCAAGACAAAAATTGACTAAATTATGACCTGGACCCAAAGAACCAGTCTGTATGCATTAATGTGCATGGGTGCGATTAACAGTTTTCCATGCTGTATTCTTTTATGCCACTTTCAATTTCACTGCAAAGGGTCACCTGACCTCTGAGGGAAGCTTCTTGGGAGGTACAAATGGCCGTATCAGGAAGAGAGGGCATTGGTGATTGGGTTCTCTCTTGCATGTGAAGAAGGTGGTAAAAAAGATTGAAGAAGGTGTTAAAAAAAAAATCACTTTTAGCCATGGCTTACCCAATGGGGATAATGTGGATCTGAAACTGTGATTTCACTCCTGTCTTCCTTTTTTACTTCAGCAAATGGTCAGCTGAAACTTCAGGTCGTAGCCATGCCATGCCTCACATTAAGACTTACATGAGAGTGTCTCCTGACTTCCAAGAGATTGCATGGTTTTTGGTTACCAGGTAAGTCTTCTGTTAGTAGGTAAGGCGAGGTTTCTTTTTCCCCCACTCCTGCCAGGATGCCTCAATGATCACTTAGGCTCCTTTTCATTTCACACCGTGTAAAGATGAAAAAATCGCTCTGAAGCCACTTGAGACCCTCTTTTAGAATTCCATAAGTTAAGTCTCGTCGTTTTTCTCATCCCAGTCTGGGAAATCAGGACTGAGCTCAAATTGCAGCTACAAACTTTCTCACAAGGTTAACATATCTCTGGAAATACAGGCAAATGTGCTCAAAATGGGGAATTCACAATATTTTGCCCATCTAAAAACTAGAACTCTTCAGAATCCACATTCTGCATTGACAACTATGTGCATAGGAACCATTTATTTATTAGATGTTTATCCCACCTGCTCTCCGAGGAGCTTAGAGTGGCACGCATATCCCCTCTCCCTTTCTATGCTAACTTCAGTTCTGTCGAGTAATGTACCCAGTGAGCTTCCAGGCAGAGTCGGGATTTGAGTCCAGGTCTCGCTAGAATGTATTCCAGCACTTAAACCAAACCATGTACTTTTGCCATCAGCGGCCATGGGCGTGCTTCAAACAGAATTGCTGTCCTCCTCCCTACAGTGCCAATCTTTCCAAGGCTGCTTGGGGAGCATTCGAAAAAAACGGTGCCCAGCTGATGATCCGATCGTATGAGCTAGGAGTCCTCTTCTTGCCTTCTGAACTTGTGAGTTCACCTGTACCCCAGACAGTGTTACATTTAGTGGAGCCACAGTCTCTTTATTGTTTACAGCTGATTGAGAATCTAAACTTCAGATCAGGGAATTAAGGTGGTTAAAATATTTTGAGTAAAAGATCAAGTGGTTTTTCTCGTGTAAGAGAATGGGATTGGATGGATCTGATCAACTTTTCTGCTGGTGAAAAAGAAGGGATTGCTTTTGATCACCCAGAGCAGCGAGGGTAGGAACCATGGGTGCTACGTATACAAAAGCAGTCAGGGGCTGTAGTAAGATGGGGAGCTGGGGGTGCTTGAGTTCACAGTTCCCTCTAAGCTGCACTAGGGGGCGCTGGCGTACAACATTTCAGAGGCCAGCTCAGAGGGTTTCTGCTACAACTCACAAACAATGGAGGGTGGGGGCACCTCCTTCTGGTCCATTCTTTTTGAAATGTTTTTTTTTTTAGGGAGGGGCCCACAAGCACCCCCCCCCCCCCCCGAGCCCCAGATATCCCAGATCGAGTCTCCATTATAGCCTATGGGGCCCATTGACTATAATGATCAACATAGGCTATAATTGAGGAAGAAAAAAATAATTTTTTGTGCCACCGCTATTATGCTTTTTAGTACGATTTTTAAGCTGCCTTGAGTCACAGGGAAAAGTGGGATATAAATATTTGATAACGTTTAAGCAACTTCCTGTTTGTTAGGTTAACATAAGAACATAAGAGATGCCAATGTTGGATCAGGCCAAAGGCCCATCCAGTCCAACACTCTGTATCACACAGTGGCCAGAAATACCAGTGCCATCAGGAGGTCCACCAGTGGGGCCAGGACGCTATAAGCCCTCCCACTGTTGACCCTCCAAACACCAAGAAGACCAGAGCATCATTTGCCCCAGAGTCCCTATCTATACCTTGTGGCTAATAGCCACTGATGGACCTCTGCTCCATATGCCTATCTAATTCCCTTTTGAAGCCGTCCATGCTTGTAGCCGCCACCACTTCCTGTGGCAGTGAATTCCAAGTGTTAATCACTCTTTGGGTGAAGAAGTACTTCCTTTTATCCGTTCTAACCCGACCGCTCAGCAATTTCATGGAGTGCCCACGCGTTCTTGTATTGTGAGAAAGGGAGAAAAGTACGTCTTTAGGCAGGGTTCTGACAGTGACTCTGGTGAAGCACGGCCAGTCAGAATAGACAGTAGTGAGCAAGATGGAGCAGCGAGTCTGTCTTTGATAAGGCTTTCATAGCCTCTTGCAGAAAACTCCTTGTAGGCCTCAGCTGTGAATGGGAGGATGGTAGTGACAGAATTAGGAAGTGCACCAAAACTGCTGCTGACGGCTGGGCTAAAAGTAGGCTACTGGGGCAGAACCTTTTGGTTTCCCACTGATCGAGACTCACCAACGGTTCCTGACTAAACCTAGAAGTCATAGGATAAAAGGACGGGTTCTCTTATGGATTAAAAAGTGGTTAAATGGCAGGAAGCAAAGAGTAGGAGTCAATGGACAGTTTTCACAATAGAGGGAAGTAAGCAGTGGAGTCCCACAAGGGTTGGTATTGGGGCTGGTACTATTTGATTTGTTCATAAATGATATGGAAGTTGGGGGGAGTAGTGTAGCAGGCCAAGTTTGCAGATGACACAAAATTATTCGCGATGGTAAAAACCAAGGCTGACTGTGAAGAGCTCCAAGAGGACTTCTGCAAACTGGGTGAGTGGGCGACATTGTGACCAATGAAGTTCAGTGTTGCTAACTGTGAGGTGATACACATTGGGACAAAAAATCCCAGATTCAAGTTAGGGTCTAATGGGGTCTAAACTTGCTGAGACAGAGAGAGAAAACAGATCTTGGGATCATAGTGGATAGGTCAATGAGAGTGTCAACTCAGTGTGCTGCAGCAGTGAAAAAGGCAAACTCTTTGTTAGGGATGTGAGCTGTTCTACAGGACATGGAAAAGCTAGAGGAGGAGAGAAAGAGGCGTGTGCATACGTGGGCTCCTTCAGCAACCCAGCCTCTTGCTCCATCCGCCTGCTGCAGTGCCTCATTGCCCTCTACACACTGTGGGAGATGTACCACACTGAGCCCCTTGCTGCCAACCCCTTTACCGCCATCCGCCAGCTTCACTCATCACCTAACACACACACACACACACACTGTGTGCCTTCCTCAAATTCCACTCTGGCTCAGCTGGAAGAGACAACAGAGGGAGGTCCCTGCTCTCAGGTAGTTGACCTTAGGAGGCATCTTGTGAACTCTCCACTGGGAAGACAAGACTCTTTGTTCTAGTCCCTTCTCCCCCATGAGTGACATGTTTATGGATGGCCTTGGTTGCTGTAATGTAGACCGCTTAATTTCCCTAGTCATGTAGTCAGTAATGTGTGGATTAAATCTTCACAACACAGGTAATGATGAAAGTCTACCCTGGAGGTGGTTGAAGGTGGTATAATGCTCAGCATCAAGCAGTTTCAGCGTAAAGCTGTTGAGTAGCATCTACCTTCTCATGCATGGTGGTTCTTACCCAACAGTCTGTCCTTTAAGTTTAGACAGAAACTAGGGGTGCTTTCACAGCTTGTGCTGTGCTAAGCCCTTTGCACTGTACTAAAGTTGAAAACTGATATTCCTCCTTTTTAAAGAAAAGAACATCCTGTCATGTGTGATGAATGCAACCACTTGTGCTGTCTCAATAAGCAAAACAACACATTCAGTTACAAATGAGAGGTATATACATTTTCCTGTGTAGAATAATATCTCTCTTGGAAAATCAAAAGGTGTGAGCTGGCCCCTAGAACAACCAACTTCAGGGCTTAACTTGAGGCGAGGCTTTGGCCTGTATTTTAAAAACAAAGACCTGACTCTGGAAACAGTATCTTCCATGCCATACTTTAGCATGTGCATGTTGATTGATAAAGAATCAAGTAAAACATGTCCTGGTGGTTACTAGAGCAAATTTCTTAGAATCTTAAAGGAGATTAGAAAGAGTAGTGGAGAAGAAGAGGGTGGTCAAAGGTGGGAATGTAGCCCTCAAATACAAAGGCTATGTACTTTGGAATGCCACTTGTTTGGGTTCATAGTAGGATGCAGTTTTTGTTGGTTTCTCAAGAACATCTGGTTGGCCACTGCAGAAAATGGAATGTTGGACTAGATGGGCACCAAGGTCATTGTTTGTCTAGGGTATCAGAAGACCTTGACTTGATCCTGGATGGGTCACTGTGCCAAGTAAATTTGGACTTGTGGGTCACCATAGCAAAAAGGTTAGGAACCACTGCCCTAAGCAACAGGAACAGTTTTTCAGGGGAACATGAACTACAGTAGGAAATGGGCTCTTGAAGAACCTCTGCACATGCAATGCTCATCTGCAGCATAAATGCCTCTAGAGGGATTGGCCAACTTGAACAAGATAAAGAATTACAAATGTACAAAAATGGTTTGATCAGACATTTAAACTGCTGATTAAGCTATTACCACAACCAAAGAGCACAAAACAGAATTGTTCAGTAGGGTATTTTTTTTTAATAAAAGAAATAGGGATACCTCATAAATGGCTGATCCCACAAAATACATTGCTTTTCTACTTATGTAATAGCATGTTCTGCCTTTTCTAAAATGTTATGTTTAATACTTATGCTGTGTTCAGATAACAGCTCTGTTCCAGTCTTCTGCAGTCCTAGTCCTGTTACATTGCTTATTAGTACTAGAGCAAATTTCTTAGAATCTTAAAGGAGATTAGAAAGAGTAGTGGAGAAGAAGAGGGTGGTCAAAGGTGGGAATGTAGCCCTCAAATACAAAGGCTATGTACTTTGGAATGCCACTTGTTTGGGTTCATAGTAGGATGCAGTTTTTGTTGGTTTCTCAAGAACATCTGGTTGGCCACTGCAGAAAATGGAATGTTGGACTAGATGGGCACCAAGGTCATTGTTTGTCTAGGGTATCAGAAGACCTTGACTTGATCCTGGATGGGTCACTGTGCCAAGTAAATTTGGACTTGTGGGTCACCATAGCAAAAAGGTTAGGAACCACTGCCCTAAGCAACAGGAACAGTTTTTCAGGGGAACATGAACTACAGTAGGAAATGGGCTCTTGAAGAACCTCTGCACATGCAATGCTCATCTGCAGCATAAATGCCTCTAGAGGGATTGGCCAACTTGAACAAGATAAAGAATTACAAATGTACAAAAATGGTTTGATCAGACATTTAAACTGCTGATTAAGCTATTACCACAACCAAAGAGCACAAAACAGAATTGTTCAGTAGCATATTTTTTTAATAAAAGAAATAGGGTTACCTCATAAAGGGCTGATCCCACAAAATACATTGTTTTTCTACTTGTGTAATAGCATGTTCTGCCTTGTCTAAAATGTTATGTTTAATACTTATGCTGTGTTCAGATAACAGCTCTGTTCCAGTCTTCTGCAGTCCTAGTCCTGTTACATTGTTTATTAGATTTATTGTCCTGTTGATTGCATTGATCTACATTGTGTGATCTGCCTTGAGTCTCAGTGAGAAAGGTGGACTATAAGTAACATAAATAAAGCACTGGAACAGAGCAGTGTGAAAGGTATAGCAAAGGCTGTCTTTGCTTTCTTATCTGTTTTCTGATTAACGGAAGCCAAAAAAACTGCTTGAATGTAAGGCCGTGTCTGTCTGCATTTTGTCACAGGGCTTGGATACTGGCTATTTCCAGGTGAAAGAGAACCTGCTTTCTGATGAGCCAGCATTATCGTTTCCTGTACCTTTTGATCTTCCCCCAGAGAAGCATGAAAGTGAAGGTAAGGTGTCTTTCTCAAATGCAGAAAACAAATTGGATAAATAAACGTACTGCATATGGACAACACAGCCCAGGTTCCAACAGCTACAGACTCAGATAATAACTACCACTGGAATTGCCCAGCACATGACCTCCTCTTAGAGAACCGGGTCCCCCACAGTATAAACAGCACCGGTGCTTTCTAAGACTAACTGTAGCTGCTGTTCAGATCAGCATGGCGTATTGTCCACTGAATTGGTCTATACAAAAACCCATGTTCAGTTCCCACTCAGCTATGATGCTTCAGGCAAATAAACTCTGCACATCTTATGGCACTTGATGTTGTTGCTTCTGGCTGGAGGGCTGGCCAACAGGGTCCTCTGAGCTTCTCTGGAGAAGGCTAGCACAAAAGTATCGCAAATAAATATTGGATTTTAGAGTTTAGGCAAGCCATTTCTATAATCTGGTGACCAATAAGCTAGCCCCTGTGTCTTCTAGTAGAGATCCAATGTGCTTTTAGTAGATCGTGTGGAGAGCAGAACAATATCCGTAGAAACAAACAGTAACATCGTAAGAGACAGCCACTCCCACAGCATCCCTAGCAGTGCTGCCAAATGCCAGTCATAACATTTTTGACAACAACTCCCACAGTTCTTACACAAAAAAGGCACCAGTCAAAGTGTGTCAATGGCTGAGATGCCAAAACCTACGCCACATATTCTGTTCTCACACACAATGCATAAGCATGCTCCCAGGAAAAGTCAATACTTCTCATGGCCCAGCAGTTAAAAGGATTGCATGTCAAGGCCAGAACCTTCTCAGGGGACAAGGCCCTGGGTTAGATATAGACACTTTGCCTTGGAGGGGTGCTGGGATGAATTTACAGCCCACTTTTCACATGTGTTCCCCCTATGAGCTGAGATGAGTAATAAGGGGTTGGGGGTTCATGTCATGAGAAGAAGCATGGCCAGGCCTGTGGCTACAGTGGGGCTTTTGGGGGCTCTGCCCCCTTTCTTAAAGCCACAGCCCCACAAGAATTCCCCCTGTAAATGCTTTTTTCAATTGTTTTTAAACATTTTTTAAGGTCATGTGCGCCTTTAAGCAGAGTGAGGTGCTGTAGTTGACTAATTCCCACATTGAGCAAGGGGGTTGGAGTAGGTGACCTCTGGGATCCCTTCTGTCAAGAATCTGGTCTTTAAGAGAGTTTTTCTGCCTAAGTCTTAGCTTTCTTCACTATAGAAGTCATCACCTCCACCTGCTGGATTGTTAGCGGAATTGTTGCTCAGGCTGGCAGAAGTGATTAATGCAGCAGATGAGAACTGTCATCTAAAGTGGTTGACAGCTTGCAATTTAGAGATCTATCCTGGTAACAGTTTTCTCTTGGCTGAATGGCTTTTCTTTCTGCACTGAGAACTTCAGCCCCACCAGAAAAAAAAATTGCCCCTCAAGCCACAAACTCCTGTCTATGGGCCTGAGCATGGCTGTAACAATTGTTTGAAGGGAGCTGTTGGCAATGCCACATACTGACAAGCGGCCTCCCACTGCTAACTGCTGCAGTAGCCCTTCATGCCGTTGGTTTGAGAGAGGGAAGTGGAAGGGTCCCTTAGTTGACATATCGGTGTGAGTGGATGCAATTATGCATCACAGTCAGAAGTGTCCCTTGCTTTCAGTTTCCTGTAATAACATTCCTGTAATACAGTTTCCTGTAATAACGTTCTTCTTGCTCTTCCCATGTATCCTTTCCCCCGTCTAAACATAGCAGTTGATGCATTTTTCTCTTCACAGCTCTACCCTTACCTTCCCATCCCCAGGTCGTTACTACCATTTTATCTGTCATAAAAACATAAGAGAAGCCAGTGTTGGATCAGTCCAATGGCCCATCTCACACAGTGGCCAACAATACCAGTTGCCATCAGGAGGTCCAGCAGTGGGGCCAGGACACTAGAAGCCCTCCCACTATTGCCCCCCCCACACACACACACCAAGAATACAGTGTATCACTTGCCCCAGCCTGAGAGTTCCTATCGATACCTTTAGGCTAATAGCCACTGATGGACCTCTGCTCCATATCTGTTGGGTCTCCCCTCACTCCACTTCTATCTTCTCTGCCTCATAAAATAATTTATGTATGAAACACTGTGCAGAAGACCATCATCAAGAGTAGAAAATTCCACTGCCTGGCAATGTTCCCTCTAAGCTGTGAAGTCTTGTGAGCAAAAATGCTACTTTGTGAGCTACTGGCATTAAAGTTGTGAGCGAGCGATTTGACTACTGCATAAATTAGTTTGCTCTGGAGCCATCCTTCCTGAGCTAAAGCAAGAATGTGTGAGCCAGATGCTAAGAAACTGAGCTAGCTCACACTAATTCAGCTTAGAGGGAACACTGCTGCCTGGTGAGAGAGAGGTCTAGTATCTCACAGTTTCCATGTGCCATTTCATGGAATGTACATGTGTGTGAGGTGTACAAATGGTCTTTGTCCATCACTGTCTCTCAGAGGTCTTGGTTCCTTTGTGTGCATAGACAGTGGAGGAATCCTCTTTCCAAAACTCCAGGCTCCTTCCCAACTACAGGTAGGGATCGAAGAAGAGTACATAGGTCTGCCCTCACCTGAATAGCTCAAGCTAGCCCCATCTCATCAGATCTCAGAAGCTAAGCAGGATCAGCCCTGTTCAGTATTTGGATGGGAGACCACCAAGGGATATAAGGGTTGCTACACAGAGGCAGGCAATGGCACATTGTCTCTGAATGTCTCTTGCCTTGAAACCTCTATGGGGGCTGCCATAAGTCAGCTGTGACTTCACCGCAGAAAAAACAAACACAAAATCATAGGTCTCGTAAAAGGTTCTCTTAGTGGCCAAGTGTTGCTACTGCAATGGATGGATTTGGTAAGTGATTCTTAGGAAGCACACTGAAGATGTTCGTACAGGATTGTTTTCTGCTGCCGTAGGCAATAGAGATTTTCCAGAGTTAAAACTGAGTTTCTAGGAATTCCAACGAACTGGCCAAGTCATGTGAGCTTTTGTGTGTATAGCACTTAGTCCGCCAATGAGATGATGCTTACTTGTTGTGATTCCCACCTGGCTGTGTGCCCCAGCATCAAGCTGTGCTTGTTAGGAGGCCATAAAGACCAGCACATCAGGTTTTGCCATTTTTGTTGGAAGGAATTGCGAATAATCGGCTTGCCATTTCTGGGTAGCAAACCCCCATAGTTAAAGGTCAGTTAGTTGGGAAGGTGGGAAATAAGAATTGTGAAACAAATGTCTAACTTGTTCAGAAGTCTAATTGCATGTCAATCAGCTCCTTTCCTATTGGTGGTACAATGAGCCCTGAGCTTTTTGATTTTCGTTGCAGATCGTCCGTGGATTTGGGACATTCCTTATAGAGCTCCTGATACACATGGAAATATGAAGTTTTGTTAGGGAAAAGCTCCAGCTCCCTCTGAAACTGTTACTGAGCCCACTAACTAACCCTGGAGAGAGGGTGGTTTTAATTATGTGGATTTGTGCACAGGTTAAAGCCGTTTCTATAAAGAAATAATTTTCAATTGCAAGTCTTTTGGGGAAAACAGTATCAGCTACACAGCTGCCTGTTTTATTTTAGAAAGCAAATATAATGCAGAGGGGATACAAAAGGGAAAAAGTGATTCTATAGGAATTACATATAACAAGGTTATCATGCATTGCAGAATAATTGGAACAGAAAGAGTAAATATCCCCTTCGTTATAGTTTTTGAGACATTTTGTATAGAAAACAATGATCCTTCAAACATTTTGAATTTCAAATTTCATAACTAATCTACTTTGCAACTATATTATTTCTTTGTTATTACGTATTTTGCGTTATATTTCATTGTTTCCAGATACTAGCTATAATTTTTAAAATACCAAAGCCTAAATAAGTCTATTATATACCTCACATATAAGATAAAAAATAGATATTTTTTACCATTTTTCTCTTAATGCTTGGCTGGCTGTGTACTTAATTTCTTTATCCCATAACTGTTCCCATTGGTGCATTGCTATTTGCACTCTGAAATTCTACATCCATTTAATCATACGTTTTTTCACTTGTTCTTCTTCTGTTTCTAACTGAAGTAATAACTTGCATATCCATCGTAATTGATAATCTTTTTGTTTTGTAATCATAAAAATATTCAATGTGCTACCTGGAAATACTGGCCCTGATGAAGGGAAATTTGTATACAATTTGCAATAAAATGAATAAAAGTGCTTGGTTACGTTTGTCATTAAAATACGAACTTGAGGTTTGAATTACTTGTAAAAGCAAACAGTTCTGCCATAAATGGTGGTACTCGTTACATAATGCTTTTTAACAGAGCCATTGCATTCCATACTGTCATTTCATTTTGTTCTTCCTGTATATTTCTCCAAGGCTAAAATTCTGTCAGAAGCACACAGTGTAGATAAGATGGATGGTTGCTTACAAGTAAGGCTCCAGTCGACAGACACCACCCACTGGTGGCTGTCGTGGATGCTCTAGGCCCTTTCACAGGGGAAAGTCTTGGATTTAACTTGCATTTTAAAAAGAGCATAGGGGAGAGGTGCAAGATAATGCTTTGTCAGCATAACAGCCTAGAGGCTATGTTTATTAAAGGTCAGCAGTTGATTAGTTATGCTAATACAATAGCACAGTGTCTAGTTTATTGTTGAGTAGCTGCACGTGCTGTCCCAGTCTTTCATATCATTGGATGGGTGAGCTACTTAATAGGAAAAACAAAAGTTAACCTGGCACATGGAGATATATAATGCACCTATGGAAAACTGTCCAATTGTAGGGTCTATACACATCACTGCATGAAGTGTTCATTATGTCCTGGCAACACAAATGAAATTTGCTTAACAAACACTTTAAAAATACATTAATTTCATGTTTTCTGGTGATACTTCTAAATAAGGGCAACCCCTATTTTTTTTTCAGCTGACTCCTATTGAACTGCTGGGACTTCTGAGTAAGAATTCATATTATTAGGCTCTTGGGCTAACAGAGGCCATATATTGTAGTAATCACTTTGCCTCTTGTTCTCATCCTTGGTTTTCCTGTATGATAACTGATCACTAGATTAATTATGTTCATTCACCACATGTGTTGAAGATAGGAGTAGTCAGCGCAGAAACGAATGTTAACAACAGAGGCTGCTTCTATCAAGAATTAGTTTACAGGTAACAGATATACTGACATGGACCTTGAACTTTCATTTTAGTGCTGGATGAGTTAAACATATTCCGTGAAATTTAAAGTATGAATACTTTTTGCCACCTAACTTTTACCATAATGACTCAGGAGTTAGCCCTACCAATTCCAGCAGGGTACACTTTTAAAGAAGTATGCTTTGGACTGTGCCTCAAAACACATAGTCAATGTAATTGTTACGGCACTGGTGGGATGTGCTCTTCCAGTGCACAGGGACCACAGGCTCTGGCAAAATAAATGTAAGTCAATAACTATGCATGCAAAAAGAGATTTTGAGAACCGGGTTGCATCAAGACAAACAATAAACATTTTAAATATATATCTGGAGCAGGAAACCAGCCAGAGAAGAAATGGGGCTTTTGAATGACAAAGGATTAAAGGGATTGTTTCTGTGTTCATTGTGGAAAGTATGGACCCTGTACCCATGCCACAGCCCCTATTTTCAGGAAGGGAGTCTGAAGAACTAAGCCCACGAGGTGACTAGAGATGTTGTATACCTACTGGGGAAATTAAAAACTGATAAGTATCCAGGCCTTGATGGCATACACCCAAAAGTTCTTAAGGAATTCAGAGGTGAGATAGTTGATCTACTAACCCATATGCGCAACCTATCACTAAATTCAGCTGCTGTACCAGAACACTGGATAGTAGCAAATGTTACAGCTATTTTAAAAAAGGGATCCAGAGAGGAACCAGGAAATTACAGGCTGGCCAGAGTAATGTCTGTCCCAGGCAAATTAGTAGGAACTGTAATCAAAGATAGAATTGTTAAGCACATAGAGTTACAAAGCCTGCTGAGGAAAAATCAGCATGGCTTCTGCAAAGGAAAAGTCCTCCTTCACCAACTTTTTGGAGTTCTTTCAGAAAGTGAACAAGCATGTAGACAATGGTGACCTAGCAGACATTATATGTCTGGACTTTCAAAAAGCTTTTGACAAGGTACCTCACCAAAGACTCCTGAGTAATTATAGCAGTCATGGGCTGAGAGAATGGGTTCTCTTATGGATTAAAAAGTTGTTAAATGACAGGAAGCAAAGAATAGGAATCAATGGATAGTTCTCACAATGGAGGGAAATAAGCAGTGGGGTCCCACAAGGATCAGTATTAGGGCTGGTACTATTTAATTTATTCATCAGTAATCTGGAACTAGGGGTGAGTAGTGTAGTGGCCAAGTTTGCAGATAACACAAAATTATTCAGGATGGTGAAAACCAAGGCTGACTGAAGAACTCCAAGAGGACGTCCACAAACTGGATGAGTGGGTGACAACGTGGCAAATGAAGTTCAGTATTAAGTGTAAGCTTCAAGTATAGGCTAATGGGGTCTAAACTTGCTGAGACTGAGAGGGGAAAAGATCTTGGGGTTATAAGGGGATAGCTCAATGAAAGTGTCAACCCAATGTGCTGCCACAGTGAAAAAGGCAAGCTCTGTGTTAGGGATTATTAGAAAAGGGATTGAAAATAAAATGGCCAATACTGTAATGCCCCTGTGTAGATCTATGATGTGGTCTTATTTGGAATATTATGTACAGTTCTGGTCACCGTATCTCAAAAAAAAAAAGACATTGCAGAGCTGGAAAAAGTACAGGGGAGGGCAGCCAAGATGATTAGGGGATTGGCGAAAAGGATGAAAAGTCTGGGACTTTTCTGTTTAGAAAATAGATGACTGGGGGTGGGGAGCATGATTTTGTTGTTGTTCAGTCGCACAGTCGAGTCCGACTCTTCGCGACCCCATGGACCAGCTCCTGTCATGTCTTAGAGGGAAAAGGAGGAGGAGGAGATTGGATTTATACCCTGCCCTTCACTCGGACTCTCAGAGTGGTTTACAATCTCCTTCCCTTCCTCTCCCTACAACAGACACCCTGTGAGGCAGGTGGGGCTGAGAGAACTCTGAGAGAACTGCTCTTGAGGGAACATCTCTCAGAGAACTGTGACTGACCCAAGGTCACCCAGCAGCTGCATGTGGAGGAATGGGGAATCAAACCCGGTTCTCCAGATTAGAGTCCACTGCTCTTAACCCCTACACCAAACTGGCTCAAGTCATGATCCAAGAGTTCATAAAATGTACATAGGAAAGGAGGCAGTCCTTCAGTTATTTTGGACCTAGACTATTCAGGGTTTGAAATATCAAAATCAGCACCCTGGATAGATCCTAAAAAGACACTGGTAAATGGAAATCACTGCAAATGGAATCATGCCAGAGTTGTGCACAGCATACAACAAACTCCAGTTAAAATTCTGGCAGCTGCATTTTTGTGTCCATTGGAGCTTCCAAACATTCTACAAAGGCACACAGAACACATTGAAGTAGTTAATCTGGATGTTACTAAAGCATGGCTAGGTGAGGTTGACACAGTACTATTGTTAGTGCATGAAACAATTTTACCTATTTCTTTCCAAGGCAGTAACAATGGTCAGCGAAAATGTAACTTTAGGACCAAGAGTAATTTCAGTACACTGGGTTTACCTTGTCCCCCATGTACTGTGCCTTTGGCCTTAGTGGAGGGATCTGACCCCTTGGCTTTTATCCAGCCATGAAGGACTCAGTTTTCCCCCCATTTTCCTGTCCAATCTGACATCCCCTTCCAACCCCTGGACCTATCATATCTGGGCCTGCAGGTGCACAGAGGAACAGAAGCACTGCAGAGCATAGAGCGAAGGGGTATGTGTGAAATGGATTCTTTTGTACTTTTGGGAAGCACTGCTCCCCTGACAGAAGAGAGAGGAGGGGCAATTTCATCCCTTCACTTTCCTCACAGCAGTGCCCCATATTTATGGCTGCTCCTTTGTGCAAGTCCCACAGTTCAAGGAATAGAAAAGAGTAAGAGTCCAGTAGCACCTTAAAGACCAACAAAATGTATGGTAGGGTATGAGCTTTCGTGAGTTACTGCTCACATCTTCGGATACAGCTAGAATGTGAGTCCATCTGTCCTCTATATTGGAAAGTGGAGTGATTTCAGATGCCAAATGACATTAGCAGGCAACTGACAATATAAAGTGTGATTGGACTAGGTGTAATATGCAGAGAGGAAATGTAGCAGGAGTTCTGAGAAGGGGATCACCAGGAGACAACAAGGAGAATCAGGATATTTATTATGCGCATAGGTACGCAGCCGATAGTACATAAGAACATAAGAGACTCCAATGTTGGATCAGGCCAAAGGCCCATCCAGTCCAACACTCTGTGTCACACAGTGGCCAGAAATACCAGTGCCATCAGGAGGTCCGGCAGTGGGGCCAGGACATTAGAAGCCCTCCCACTGTTGACCCCCCCCCCAAGCACCAAGAAGACAGAGCATCACTTGCCCCAGAGCCCCTAGCTATACCTTGTGGCTAATAGCCACTGATGGACCTCTGCTCCATATGCTTATCTAATTCCCTTTTGAAGCCGTCCATGCTTGTAGCACCCACCACTTCCTGTGGCAGTGAATTCCATGTGTTAATCACTCTTTGGGTGAAGAAGTACTTCCTTTTATCCGTTCTAACCCGACCGCTCAGCAA